CCCGTGCCACGAAGCGAGGGGAATCGTGAATATATGCATCTGAGCTTTGGGGTTTGGTGGGGATGTGTTGTATTCGAGGGGGTGCTTAGGTATACACGCCCGAAGTGTGAGCTTAATTGTAAGTATGATCGTGTTCCCAAGTTTTGACGGGTTCAACCACTGCCTCACCGTGCGACTTCCTCGGTAGACTACTGCGTGCCATAATACGGTCGAACGTTACTGAATAACGCCATTCTGCCGCACAGTAATCAACCTCTGTGTGTGTGTGTGTGTGAGTATATATATATATGTATATGTATATTTATCTATCTATCTATCTCTCTGTGCATCTCTTTCTTTCTGCCTTTTCAGATATCAAGAATGTTGGAAGTCGGAGAGAAACGAAAGGCAGGAGAAGAGACAGAGTGCGATCGATCTCCAGATGTATATGCACCGTGGGGAGACAAAGATGAAACACAAGCTTTAATCGATGAGAGTTGGGCTGAGATAGTAGAAGAGCAGCAAGAAGTTATAGATAAACTGACAGCTGAACTGATCGAGCAGAAACAGTTGGTCACCCAGGCGCGCGATGAGACAGGTCGTGTGGAACTTGCACTCGCGGAAATGACAGAAACTGCGGAAAGTATGCAGTATAGCATATTCTGGTTGTTGCTTCCCGATCCGAAGTCTCTTGTGACGGATCTGAGGGAGGGCATGACCGAAAAATTTAAAAAAATGGCGGACTCAAAAAATTGCACGTTAGAGGATTACCAGTGTATGGTTGCGAATCTCAAATGCTATCGAAAAAATCTGCTTAGTCTCATCGACAATTCGCTCCGTGGCACAGCACAAAACGCTTATGAATGGGATGTCACATGTTGTTCCTCTGCTGACAAATGTGTGGTCAGGGAAGGGTGGGGGTCTTACGATAGTCAGGAACTGGACAGACATCAGCTGACAGCGTGGTCGAAAAGTCTTGTAGATCTTTTGTCTTTTGCCGAGGACTGCATCCGTCATTGCACGGAGACCGTAGAGCACTACACTCTCAACCATCGACCGCAGACCGACGACGCACATACAGGATGCGATGGCCTTAATGGGAACGTACGGACTCTGCTGAACAGCTGCGCCGATATTGTATGTTCTCCTCAGCACACCAGAGGTCGCCTGGCATCCGGACAATTGTCTGTAACGCCGAACCCCGTAGAAACTAACGAGGCGCACAATGAGCAAGCCACGAACGCTAGCAGGGAGGTCGATCTCACTATGCGGATGTGCAACAACGACGCAGGTCGAAGTGTCTGTGAGGCACCAGCACACTTGTTGCTAGACTGCAAAGATATCAACACCTTTCCATGTCATGAAATTCGACACAATCTCCCTTGCGTCCTCGCTAGCAAAGCACCATCGACAAGCAATGCAGAGTTCGCAGTGCCTATGACCACGAAAATATTTGAATAGTTCGTGACAAGTGCTAATAAACGACAAATGGCAAGGCTTGTGGCGGACTGCATATCCCACCTTATTTCTTTCGCAAAAGAGATGATGTCGAGGGTCGTAACAAATGCAGAGCATCATGCAGAGGTCATCAATTGTCAGCATTGCCAGAAAGGACTCCACATCAACGACCGGCTAAGGGCTCTCTATAAGAGATGTAAAGTCGTTGCAGAGCGTCTCGTCAAAGAAATTTGATGTGCGAAGATTAGTGAGGCCGTTTTTTTTTTTTTTTT